TGCACCCATGTTGTGTGACGCTACATGCACCCATGTTGTGTGACGCTACATGCACCCATGTTGTGTGACGCTACATGTACCCATGTTGTGTGACGCTACATGTACCATGGTTGTGTGACGCTACCATGTACCATGTTTTTTGTGACGCTACCATGTACCCATGTTGTGTGACGCTACCATGTACCCATGTTGTGTGACGCTACCATGTACCCATGTTGTGTGACACTACCATGTACCCATGTTGTGTGACACTACCATGTACCCATGTTGTGTGACACTACCATGTACCCATGTTGTGTGACACTACCATGTACCCATGTTGTGTGACACTACCATGTACCCATGTTGTGTGACACTACCATGTCCCCATGTTGTGGGGACACTACCATGTACCCATGCTGTGTGACACTACCATGTACCCATGTTGTGTGACACTACCATGTACCCATGCTGTGTGACACTACCATGTACCCATGTTGTGTGACACTACCATGTACCCATGTGTGACACTACCATGTACCATGTGTGACACTACCTTTGTCCCCATGTGTGACACTACCATGTACCATTGTGTGACACTACCATGTACCCAAGTGTGCACTCCCATGTCCCCATGTGGGGACACTACCATGTCCCCAATGTGTGACACTCATTGTACCCATGTGTGACACTACCATGTACCCATGTGGGGACACTCCCATGTACCCATGTGTGACACTACCATGTACCCATGTGTGACACTACCATGTACCCATGTGTGACACTACCATGTACCCATGTGTGACACTACCATGTACCCATGTGTGACACTACCATGTACCCTTTGTGTGACACTACCATGTACCATGTGTGACACTCCCATGTACCCATGTGTGACACTACCTTTGTACCCATGTGTGACACTACCATGTACCCATGTGTGACACTACCATGTACCCATGTGTGACACTACCATGTACCCATGTGTGACACTACCATGTACCCATGTGTGGACACTACCATGTCCCCATGTGTGACACTACCATGTACCCATGTGTGACACTACCTGTACCCTGTGTGAACACTACCATGTACCCATGTGTGACATTTACCATGTACCCATGTTGTGTGAACTACCATGTACCCATGTTGTGTGACACTACCATGTCCCCATGTTGTGTGACACTACCATGTACCATGTTGTGGGGACACTACCATGTACCCATTTGTGTGACACTACCATTTACCCATGTTGTGTGACACTACCATGTACCCATGTTGTGTGACACTACCATGTACCCATGTTGTGTGACACTACCATGTACCCATGTTGTGTGACACTACCATGTACCCATGTTGTGTGACACTCCCAGAAACCCATGTTGTGGGGACACTACCATGTACCCATGTTGTGTGACACTACCATGTACCCATGTTGTGTGACACTACCATGTACCCATGTTGTGTGACACTACCATGTACCCTTGTTGTGTGACATACCATGTACCCATGTTGTGTGACACTCCCATGTACCCATGTTGTGTGACACTACCTGTACCATGTTGTGTGACACTACCATGTACCCATTTTTGTGTGACACTACCATGTACCCATGTTGTGTGCATTTACCATGTACCCATGTTGTGTGACACTACCATGTACCCATGTTGTGTGACACTACCATTACCATGTTGGTGACACTACCATGTACCCATGTTGTGTGGACACTCCCAAATGTCCCCTGATTGTGACCTACCATGTACCCATGTTGTGTGACACTACCATGTCCCCATGTTGTGTGACACTACCATGTACCCATGTTGTGTGACACTACCATGTACCCATGTTGTGTGACACTACATGTACCCATGTTGTGTGACACTACTTTTACCCATGTTGTGTGACACTCCATGTACCCATGTTGTGTGAAAACTACCATGTACCCATGTTGTGTGACACTACCATGTACCCATGTTGTGTGGAAAACACCATTTTACCCATGTTGTGTGACACTACATGTACCCATTTTTGTGTGACATACCATTTTCCCATGTTGTGTGACACTACCATGTACCCATTGTGTGTGACACTACCAATGTACCCATGTTGTGTGACACTACCATGTACCCATGTTGTGTGACACTACATGTACCCATGTTGTGTGACACTACATGTACCCATGTTGTGTGACACTACATGTACCCATGTTGTGTGACACTACATGTACCCATGTTGTGTGACACTACATGTACCCATGTTGTGACACTACATGTACCCATTTTGTGTGTGAACTACATGTACCCATGTTGTGTGACACTACATGTACCCATGTTGTGTGACACTACATGTACCCATGTTGTGTGACACTACATTTTCCCATGTTGTGTGACCTCATGTACCCATGTTGTGTGACACTACATGTACCCATGTTGTTTGACACTACATGTACCCATGTTGTGTGACACTACATGTCCCCAAATGTTGTGTGGACACTACTTGTACCCATGTTGTGTGACACTACATGTACCCATTGTTGTGGGGACATTTACATGTACCCATGTTGTGACACTACTGTACCCATGTTGTGTGACACTCATGTCCCCATGTTGTGACACTAATGTACCCATGTTGTGACAACTACATGTACCCATGTTGTGACACTACATGTACCCATGTTGTGACACTACATGTACCCATGTTGTGACACTACATGTACCCATGTTGTGACACTACATGTACCCATGTTGTGACATACATGTCCCCATGTTTGAAAACTACATGTACCCATGTTGTGTGACACTACATTGTACCCTGTTGTGTGACACTAACATGTACCCTGTTGTGACACTACATGTACCATGTTGTGTGACACTACATGACCCATGTTGTGACACTACATGTACCCATGTTGTGACACTACATGTACCCATGTTGTGTGACACTACATGTACCCATGTTGTGTGACACTACATGTACCCATGTTGTGACACTACATGTACCCATGTTGTGACACTACATGTACCCATGTTGTGTGACACTACATGTACCCATGTTGTGAACACTACATGTCCCCATGTTGTGTGACATACATGTACCCATGTTGGTGACATAACATGTACCCATGTTGTGACACTACATGTACCCATGTTGTGACACTACATGTACCCATGTTTCATGAACTATAACAACATGTTTTATAAAACATTAAATGCTATACAAACTTCTCCTAAACATAAATATGGATGAAACAAAAACTATTTGTTAGAAATAGTGCAATTTTTTTTTTAAGTATTTGTGCTTTTATAACGTCGGTGCAATTTATTATATGTTTGTCAGCTTTCAGTAAGTCATGAAAAAGATATGTTGTTTATCGTAGTTATGTTTGATTTTATGTCTATAATCATACAAGAATTTTTCTTAGCAATTTTGGAAAAACCTGTTGCCAGCAGTCCTGCATCAATAAATTTTAAGTTGTGATGACCATAAGTTTTGTATATACCACAGTAAGAGAGATGAGTTGCGACATAAGATATATACACTGAGTTGTGTATTTCTTGGTATATATACAATAATAGGTTCCTTTAAGTAGATAAATGAATACGGTCATTAAGAACTGAAAGATTGAGATAATCACAGTATTAGGTATAATAATAGGAAAACCAAACGTTTATTCTACTCATTTATTGCACTAATATACAGATGCTTCATCAATCCACGTGTCCTAATACACACACACGATATTAACAGTCTGGCTTTACATAACATTTCTCTATTATGTGCTCTTACTTTGGACAGGTTCTTTAATAAGGTAACCAACCTACTTACCCACGAGTGGGTGGAACCTCACACACACACACACACACACACACACACACACACACACCACACACACACACACACACACACACACACAGGTAAAAGGGCGTTACTCCTATTACAACTCCGTTCTCCAGGAGAAACCTTAATATGGTATGAAATCTATATATTTGTGAACTTTAACAAAATTATTAATAGAATCAAAGGCAATACAACACAATTATTAATAACTTCATACACGCAACATAATAACTGGACGGATACAAGGCATGTGAATTTGTTTTTCATGTCAATCTATAATTATTAATGATTAATAACACAAAATTATGATGCATCGTAGTACAACGGGAGAAAAAAATTACCTTAAACTAAAAATTTAGTTATCCTTTAAAAACTCTGATAATGGTCTGGGTTTCTAGATCTCCTGCGTGAACCTAAAAATGTAATATGCAATATGATGTTAATCTGGTTTTATGAAATTTTGAATTGATTTTAACTGTGTTTAAATATACAGTGCGGTATAATCTTAACTAGGAATGATTGATCACAGAGGATGAAATATAATTTTCTTAAGTTTATCAAATTAATACATAACTATTTGCCTTAACTGTGTCAAGTAATATCTTGAGATATTTCAATTTCCTTCGGTCAAAATTTCGCGTTTACACTAGAAAACTAAATATTATTTATAAGATAATCATCCTATGTGACCAATTATTTAGAATACGGTTAAGTTTTGCTGACCCCCCACCCCATCCCCGTCCCCTGTTATTTACACTTTATTTACACCTACTAGGAAAAGAAACGAAAATACAGGAATTACAATAGGAAATAGTTCCTTAGTTGAGTTTATGTGAACAATTGAATTAACTTAGTGAACAATTGAATTAAGTGAACAATTTAATTAACATAATATGGAATGTCAGGAGCTCTGTTTTTTTTTTTTTATCGTGTGCTGCATGTATGTGAGTATGAAGTCTGTATGTATGACCCAGGTATTGTATACAGTGTGTGTGCGTATACACATGCACACATTTCTAAAGTTAAAATATTTTAAACCCTTTACCAGGCCTGGGAAAGGGTAATTACCCCTCTCCAGGCCTGGTAAAGGGCTAAAGTTTAAATATATATATATATATATATATATATATATATTATATATATATATATATATATATATATATATTTATATATATATTAGGCGTTCCAGGAATTTAGTGAATGATTTTGTATAAAAATTATATGAATATACAAAAGAACATTTTCTAAATCACAGAAACAGTAAATTTAGGTAACATTTGTTGGGAGTAAGGCAGCCTTAAATAAGGTCACTTATTATACTAGAACAACCTGTGTTAACCATTATTACGTCCAGTCAGTAAGGGACTTAAAACTAGAAAAAAATATGCAATTATAAGCGCAATGGGTAGAGAAATGAAAAATTTATTCTATAAGAATTGTGCGCGAGGACAGGATCCAAAGAATTAAATGCCAATAGCCTAATAAAAAACAGATCAGAAGGTTGAGTGAATAAATGCCAATTACCTTTTGAAAGTAGCTTCCTGAAGGAAAACAAATAATGAAATCATCAGAGGGGGAACCTCCAGACACGGATATATATATAGACAAGTGTTATCTGTGTATATACAGTACACAATTTGATCACTGAAGTCGTGATATCCGTGTTCTTGTGGAAAGGCAGCTTAAGAACGAGTGATGGCAGACAGTTTTCCTTCTTTGGATCACCCGCCTTTGTGGGAAACATTTATAGTTGGTAAATCAGGTAGATACTGTCTCTATGACCCTCGTAGCCGTCGATAGGCTGGTAATCTAAACCTATTAACACTACCTCCAGTGTTAACATGAAATATATGGAGGCTGGTGACAAAATAATATACACCCTGGCTTCATTTCAGTTATATTCATTTGAAGAAAAACTAAAACATAACTAAACATGCTTAACTATTAACAAGAGGGACTTTCCTGTATCTTCCTGAGTCGATAGACACTGGCATTTCTACCGCAGGAAAATCGCATATCAATCAATATTTATCTTAAGTTTTTGAGGGAAGAAAAAAATATTCGAGATTGTTGACAATGCTGCGGCAATGCAGAGGATTTTAACCCACCAAGTAGTGTTCCCATAACTATCCTAGATCACACCCATTACAATTATATGAAACAAACTGTCGAGTATAAAGTAACGATCTGTGTGCACCACAGAGACCCATGCCGGTTTTAAATAAGGTCTTGTAATCCGAGTGAACCTCGCAATGAAACTCAAATCCATTTGGGAATCTCACGGTGAAATTATCAAAATATACAAGTTTCCGAGAATCTTTTTATTTTATATAACTACGCTTACATAAACTACTATGCCAGGAAGATTCTGGAGCTACCAGGCATGGGACAACGTTCCAGGAAGTTACGGGAAGTGATAATAAATTATCCTATAGGGTTCTAATGGGATTGGCATGGGATACTATTCCAGGTTAGTTTTGGGGACTGAAATTATCCCAGGCGGTTCTGGGAAACTGACATTAAACCCAGGCGGTAGCTGGCACTAAACACCATCCCAAGGCGTTCTAAGGGACTGGCATGGAACACTATCGCTGGAACAGAGTATAGTGTATGCAGCCACAGCCTCAAGACGGAATAAACAAGTTCCTAGGTTATCAAAGAAGAGTTTAACAGAAATCAAATAATTGTGAAAATAGTAAATAAGATATCTTAACACTAGAGAGATCTGGAAGGGGTTTGAGACGCTATGTGCTACACACCATTAAAATATCCCACATTAAAATACCTTAATCAGAGCAAGTGTCTTACTAAAACTTTTAGTTTTGTAAAGACCACCGAATTTGGCCATACACAAAAAATAGACATGGTAATATTAAACTCGTGTAAGCCAAGTATAGCTCAATATATCACAGCTAAGTATTACAACTAATATAATTTTATATTTATATATGTATATATAATGTATATTTATACAACTATTAGGATTTTCCCAGCTTGCTGAAAGTACATCAATGCCAAGTAAGGCATACTAAGTAGTGCTTCTTAAAATAAAAATTTACCATAATATTATGGGTTCATTAAGTACTCATCAGCAGCGCCAACTTCACTATTCTTTCAACACATTAGTAAGAGTTAAAGCCAAACATGATCAGAGCTGACAAAGCTTGTATTAAAGCTTAGGACCCAACTCAAGAGTAACTGAAAATGTCGGTGATCGCGGTAGACGTAAACACCATGTTAAACCAGCTGTTTTAGTATTCCGGCTGCAGACCGCCTGCCCACCGCAACAACACCGCCCTACCCATTCAGCAGCAATCCAAATTTTAAATTATAACTTAAACTTTGCTCTAGTATTTACCTAGCCAAGAATATATAACTAATTATTTTAGAGCAGTTTAGAATGGGGGCCACAAAATGCGAACCAGCGAGTAAATTTGTGTAACTTAACGACACTGCTTCCTAACTGCATTTGAAGAAAATCAAACTTGTTGTTGAATGAGGATAACAGCTAAGTGACCCTCCAAAAGGGAAAACACAGACAGACACAGACACATTGTTCAATTCACCTCAAACTGTTGTGGTACGACCTACTTCACTGACGTGATGGCAGTGTAGTGAAGCATAAGAGGTAAAAACTTTGGGAATAACTCAGGCAATACAAAACTCAAGATTCTGTTACACTGGAGAGATGAAGAGTATATTTATTTACTTAACTCAAAACTACTCTATCTATAGCTACTATTTATTAATTATCTCCACATGACTTGAGGGATTGATCTATTACATGGCTGACACCAGCACCTCTTCACTACATACAGCGAAGTTTGCTTGATGACTACAAAACCCCTCTCATCAGCTGCCAACTGTCCTCGCTAGAGGGAACTCTCAGAAGTTCAAGACAACTCAAAATGCGACCAGATGCAATCAAAATGCTATTCTGTAATTATCAGACTTCCAGGTGGTAAAACACGAAGGGTTCATCTTGGGCCAGACGTCAATATCCAGGCGCTGTCCACAGTCACTCACACTGCCTGAGGGAAGGTGTTGGAAGCAGCATGATGGTCCAAGTGATGTCCCGATGGTCATTTCAGGCGTGAAAGATGATGCACAATTCCAAGCAGATTAGATTTACAAAATGACCTTGTTAACTTGTGGCGGGGGTTGTTGCACTCATTCTACTTTTGCAGAGGTTACTAAAAGTTAACAGTGTGGTGGAACTAACAATGAAAGTTTGCACTGGTCAAGACATTAGGTGTTCAAACACATTTTGCTGTTTGAGATGAGAGTACCAGCTGTTGGGAAGGGAATATGACGTCGATAGAGAAGAGATGACAGTTATAAAAATTGATAATGAAGGTAGCCACGCTGGGCGTCTCGAGGTTACCGCTTAAGGGTAGTGAGGATGGAGAAGAGGCGAGAATTCTTCCTGGGCGAAGTCTTGCCACTACACGAGGAGTCGGAGTCGCTGGCGGCTTGGCAGCGTGCGGCAGCAGCTGCGGCTGCAGCAGCCCCACCCATCTCCAACTTGCTCAGCTTCCTGCGCATCTGTTCGTCCAGCAGCTGCTGCATATCAACCTGTCGTACCAGTGATACATTATTTTTTTTTTACTACGCCGGCTGTTTCTCACCAAAATAGGGTGACCCAAAAATAAGGGAAACATTCACTCTCACTTATTCAAAAAGTATCTTACCAGAAGAGTGAAGACAATTACAATAACCCCACGACTAACATTCCACTTCAGCATAGTACAAACACTATTTCCCACCTACATCTATATTAAATAAAGGTCCATCTGTACACAAATGAATTACAATATATTTTGTCTTATATACTGTACACCTTTGTATAGACATGAATATTTTTTTTATTAACACATCGGCCTTTTCCCAGCAAGGCAGGATGACAAAAAAAAAGAACAAAAAAGAAGAAACACACTTTCATCATTCACTCCACCACTGTTTTGCCAGAGGCGTGCCTACACTACAGTTAAAAAAAACTTCAACATATCAACACCCATCTTTCAGAGTGCTTTCTACCTTCAGGACTCAAGTCCTGCTAACCGGTTTCCCTAAATACCTTCATAAATGTTACATTGTTCACACTCCAACAGCAGGTCAGATCTAAAAACCATTCGTCTCCACTCCTTCCTAACACGCTCACGCACGCTTGTTGGAATTCCAAACCCCTCTAACTCCCATTTTGTGTTAGATTCTTTATTTCTTAATCCCACATCTCTTGTCAAGACCAGAATAATCACTTCTCTTACAGCTCCATCTATAAATATATTGAACAACCATGGTGACATCACGCATCTCTGTCGAAGAACTTCTCTTACTGGGATATAACCTTCTCTCCTACATACTCTAACCTGAGCCTCATTATCTTCATAAAGACTCTTAACCGCTTTCAGTAACCTGCCACCTATTACATACATTTACATCTGCCACACTGCTCTCCTATCCACCCAATCGTGTACCTTTACCAAAACCATAAATGCAACAAAAACCTCTTTACCCTTATCTAAATACTGTTCACCTATATGCTTCACTGTGAACACTTGGTACATGAATCTATTGATATAATTTTTTTTAGCATCATTCAACTTTTCCCCTCGTTAATACAAGCACTTAATGTCAAACTTGTAAATTCACCTAAGCAACACAATTACTTTAAATGAACCTCAAGAGGCAGTTCCAACTAATCAAAATTATACAATGCTGACCATGGACGAAATTAAATATTCTTCACAAATTTTCATATTACGAAAGACAACAAAACAAGTTAGCCATAGTTTACGTCTAGCACATTCAATATGATTATACAGTGTCTGAAAGATGACATCAAAAGTACCATATTAGTATAATTTATAAACATAACAAAAGTATGTAATGCTAACTCAACCTGCCACTGTTCCAATTGCTGCAAAGCTCCACTCTGCTGATGGCACATGAGCTGGATTAATCTTGCATCACATCATTTTCTGTTACCGGCCAACCGATCTCGCACGGTTTTCGGCCACCTGCTTTGTCTCGCATATCCCAACCTGCGTGTGGTGGGTACACAAGTTCTCTTTAGTTTTTTATAATTTAACAAAATTAAGTATCACACCTGAATGCGGCTGAGGCCATTCTTAATGGTACAATGTGGGATTACGCAGATCATCACTCTGGTCTGACTTTGTATCTCAGGTTCTTCGCACATATGCTGTATGTATGATCATCTATTAACTGTTTGTGTTTGGTAAACAACTTCTCTTTATTTCTATGACTATATTGTACATGACAACAATTAACACTGAAGAAATCCATTCATAAGTACGAAATTGGATAAAACTGATATGGATACAATCAGTATTAGTGAGTGAACTACATAACTTGCAAGTTTTCAGCCTTGGCTCTAAACCCAGCACTTGCACCAATAAATCACATAGTTACTGTGTTAAAGAATACCAATGTTATTTCAATACAAATTCAGTAGTTGTGACAACTGGAGTCACTATTACGTTAGAAAGATCTTTCATGATGGCCTATAACCCTGTAATACACAGGGGAAATGAAATTTATGTATCACAGTGAAAATTACACATACATAATACATATACCTATAACAAACATGCACATAAATGCAACCTACATATACGTGCCCTCTCCTGTATACCTCGTCTTCATCCACTATTTATTTTTTGGGGAGAGCCTCCCCCCTCATTGGGGGTAGCCTCCCCCCTCACCGTCTCTTCAGTCCTCCTCTTCCTCTATTTGAAAACAATACATTCAGTAAGATACAATACAGGAGTCGACGCTAGCCACTGGAACACTGATGCAGTTTACAAAACCCAGGGAAGTCAATTAACTATGCAATAATACTCATGGCAGAGTAGCAGGGGTAGTGGTGGTGGTGTACAACTAAACCGTGGTTGTCATGAGCACAAAGCCTCAACATAGACCGCAGGCAGTGTTGGTACCTGCCTTTCCCCATGTCTTCCAAGTATCTCTCACCTTCTTGATGAGCTCGTCCTTGGCCAGGTGAGTATTGTCGAGGTCATGCTTGAGGTTGTCGCGCTGTTCGGCCACAGCCTTCAGTTGGGCCTCCCCAAGAGTCACCTGGTGGCTCAGGTCAGCTGCTTCGTCACTCTGTAAACAATATATTCAAGTTACTCTTTTTATAAAAAATAGAAGAAATTTAGTGATTTTAACTTAATATAATCATGAATTTTTTTTGTAAAGGTATACGAATTATTTTACAAGAAGCTGTTCATATTACAATTACATCAATAGGTTGTAACTTTCACAAAACTGACAAAAATAGTATTCAAATATACTTAGCTACGAAAAATAATGAATTAAAACTTTTATATTTCTGTGGATAGCGTAATAAACATACACAGTAGACTTCGTTTTCAGTATTCCCTACAAAGCTTTACATCAATGTTGCTAGAGTGTCTTACCTTGGCCTTGAGCTTGTCCTTGGCGTCAGCAAGCTCGATGTTGAGCTTGTCGACGGCCTCGAGAGCTCTATGGACCTCTTGCTCGAGCTGGAGCCTATCTTCACTGCGGCCACAGGCAGCACACTCACCCTGTGCCTCACGTCGCAGTAGGTCCCTCACCAGACCCTTCAACTCCCGCACCACACCACCCAACACGCCACTCTGATCACATAATAATACACAACTTATTACATACAGTATTTTTATTTAGATGTTAGATAACCTATCATTAAAAAACCTAAGGTAGACGAATTAAAGTTGGGGCGGATTATAAGTGCGGAATGTTTTTACATAATTTCCTAAATGTAGAACATATAAATGAATAATATAATAGTTTATTAAAATGTGATGCTATTTGGACCTTTCGAGTAAGGAGGGGGGAGGAGGCAGAACAGCGAGAGTGACACAGCATGGACGCCATATTGAAACTGAATGAGTGAACACTGGATTGAATTGTGCAATGTAATCAGGAGTTCTCGAAGGTCAATTGGTGCATATCGGCCAATCCGTAATTTAGAAAAAAATGACTCGTTCCTGTTCGGCAACAAGGACGGAAAAATAGAGGACTTCAATGAATCCTTCCCAATAACACACATTGATGCTTACCCATAATGTACATTATTATATAATAAAAAAAGTGCTAAACCACAAGGGCTATACAGCGCTGCAGGGCAGGAAGGAAGCAGGGAAATCAGGTGGCAAAAGGGAGAGAGAATTAGTAGGGTACGGAGAACAGTGGGGCAGTGGATAGTACAGGGGTAGAGGGTAGCAAGAGACTGAGGTAGAAAGGGCAGAGGGGAGTACGAAAGGTATCGTCATCAGAGTTTGTGGAGTAAGTCAGTTGTTGTCAAGAAGTCAATGAGAGAGCCAGGATTAAAGGAGGGTCCATCAGCAAGAAGGGAAGGTAAAGAGAGAGTAGTAGAGCGGAGACGAGGTTGGAGGTAAATTCTGCGTGCTTGTTGATAGAGTGGGCAATCTAACAGAATGTGGCTAACCGATACTGGAACCTGACATGTCTCACAGATAGGAACTGGGAGCCTCTCCATGAGATACCCATGAGTAAGACGAGCGTGGCCAATGCGAAGATGGGAGAGAATAGTCTCCCAACCTCGACACTGATGACAAGAAGACGGCCAGTAACCTATACTCGGTTTAATAGAATGAAGTTTGTTACCGAGTAGATTAGACCAACGTTGTTGCCAACGGGTGTGAAGGTGGGTAGCTATTACAGCAAAATAGTCCGTAAATGGAACACCTCTATATGAAATTGGTAGGTCGTGTACTGCTGACCGCGCAGCAGTGTCTGTTCAGTGCCCTGTACGTCAACATGACCAAGGACCCAACAAAAAACAATATCTTTATGCTTGGTAGAGATATGGTGTAGCCAAAGTTGGATACAGAGGACTAGGGGGTGAGGTGCATCAAATTTTCGTATAGCCTGTAAAGCACTAAGGGAGTCTCAGACAACCACACATGATGACACAAGCATCGATGCAATATGGATAAGTGCTGCAAGAATGGCATACAATTCAGCTGTAAAAATGCTAGCCGAGGATAGTAAATGTCCTCGCACGACACTGTCCAGAAACACTGCTGTGACTCCGACACCATCAGAAGACAGAGTCATCTGTGTACACTGCGATGGCACGAGAATGAGAGCAGAAGTCGTCAAGAAAAAGAGAGCGGGAAGCTACCGTAGGCAGTTGGGCTTTCGCGCAAGGGAGTAAGAACAGACTTGGACAGCTGGAACTTCCCAGGGGGGCAGGGAAAAGTGAGATGCTACATGAACATAGAAAGATGGTAACTGAAGGGAAGACGAGCGAATGTAGTCGAAGAGAAAAGGGACAGAGCAAACAGGGGTGATGAACAAGTAATGTCTACTAACATCGATGACTATTCTATATATGGAAGGATTGCGGAGACATGAGAGCGAACATAGTAGCGAAGGCAATGGGCATTACGGCGATCGGACAAGGATGGAATATTCGCTTCTGCATAGAGGCTCTCAACAGGGGAAGAGCAAAAAGAACCAAGGCACAAATGTAATCCCTGGTGATGGATGGGATTAAGGCTCGAGAGAGTAGTAGAAGCCGCTGAATAGATCTGATCACCATAATCGAGTTTCGATAAAATGAGGGCTGAATGTAGGCGAAGGAGAGTTCGACGATCAGCTCCCCATGAAAGATGAGCAAGGGTTTTAAGAAGGTTCAGCCGGTTGTGACAAGTTGCCTTCAGAGAGGTAATGTGAGGTTTCCAGGATAACCTACAGTCAAAGAGAAGGCCTAGAAACCTGACTATCACGTTCAGGGATATGCAAGCCATAGAGGTACAAAGGATGATCGGAGATGACAAAGTGTCTAGTGAAAGTAATTTTGGCGAGTTTTGGTACTGGAAAATTTAAACCCATGCGTGGTGGCCCAATTGGAAACATGATCGACTGCATGCTGGAGAGAAACTGTAATGAGGTGACAGCGCCTGCACAAGCTATAGTGAAGTCATCAATATAGAGTGATGACCAAATATTGGATGGAAGACTAGAGGGCAAATCATTTATAGCAAGGAGAAAAAGTGCTGTGGTCAGAACACATCCCTGAGGAACATCCTCAGCTTGGACAAAGCCTGGGGAGAGCACATTATTAACCCGAACACGGAAATGTCTGTCAGTTAAAAAGTTTTTAAGGAAGGATGGTAGATTGCCTCGGAGGACTAAGGAGTGGGCTTGGGCCAAAGTATTATACCTCCAAGTTGTATCATATGCCTTCTCGAGGTCAAAAAATACGGCAATAACCGAGTGGTTATTTGCAAAGGCATTACGAACATACATATCCAAGCATAGTAAGGGGTCTATGGTAGAACGGCCCTTACGAAAGCCACACTGACGAGTGGAGAGACTGTTGTGTGTGTCTAAATACCACATTGAATGTCGATTTACCAGATGTTCCATCACTTTGCAAACTGCACTGGTAAGAGCAATGGGACGATAGTGGGAGGCATCATGTCCCGTAGTACCCAGTTTGCAGAAAGGGAGAACAATGGCAGATTTCCACAGCTGGGGGAGAATTCCGTGACCAAATAAGATTGAAGAGGTGTAAGAGGACTACAAGGGCTGATTGATGTAAATGTTGTAACATCCGAATATGAATGTCGTCAGGCCCAGCTGCCGATGATCGGCAAGTTGAGAGTGTTGCCTCCAGTTCCTGAAGTGTAAAAGGCACATTATACGGTTCTTCAATGTGAGAAGAAAACTCCAAGGGTGCTAACTCTCTGGCAGACTTTGAGGAAAGAAACGAGGGGCATAGATGGTGCCCCTGAGAAATACAGACCAGATAACTGCCAATTTCAATGGCAGTGTCAAGAGGGTTTGCTATATCAACACCGGCAACCTGCAAAACAGGAGCCGGGTCAGGAGTAGTGTTTACCACTCAATTTCTGTACTTTTTTTCCAGACTGCACTCATAGAGGAAGCCGAGGTGATGGTGGAAACAATCTCGCCAGCAAGTGCGTTTAGCGTCACGGATGACACAGCAAGCAACCGCTAGCTTCTGCTTAAAATCAAGAAGTCTCTCTGTGGTTCAATTGTACTGGTACCTGCCCCACAGTGCGTTTCAAACGTACTGCCTGAGCACAGGCAGGAGACCACCATGGCACACACTTCTGAGAATGCCTACCTGAGGTTTTGGGGGATAGAATGAGAAGCTGCAGTTAAAACTGATGTCGAGAAGAGGTGTAAAAGTTCATCAATGGAGGATGAAGAAGGAACCTCACTAAAAGCAGTTAGTTGCGAGTAATGGTCCCAATTTGCTCGATCAAACTGTCAGCGAGGGCTACGAAGAGGTGGTGAATATGAAGGAGAAGTAAGAATGATTGGAAAGTGATCGCTGTCATGCAAATCCGGTAGAACCGACCAGGCGAAGTCTAGTGCAGTGGAGGAAGAGCAGACCAAGAGATCGATGCAAGAGAGAGTATGAGTACGAGGATCAAAATGGGTGGGGGTACCCATATTTAAAACATGGAGGGGGTGAGAAGCGAGAAAAGCCTCCAACTGAATGCCACACGAGTCACAGTGAGACCCCCCCCCCAGAGGAAATGGTAGGCATTAAAATCGCCAAGCAATAGAAGTGGTGGCAGTAAGGATGAAACAAGAAAGGCAAAATCTGGGATAGATAATGTCCCAGGAGGAGATATAAAGAACATATCGTAAACCACTTATTCAAGTGGACATGGGCTGCGGTGTAATGCAGCGAGGTATGTACAAATAGTTGACAGTACGGAATATCATTGCATAGAGGAAAGGCACTTTCATTCAAGGTCCCATCTGAGAAAGGATCCGAAGAATACAGTAAATTATAGCCCGAGATATGTTGGAAAACAGCCGAGTGTAATTTTGGTTCTTGTAAGCAAACACAACAGGGGAAAACCTGGAAAGCAACATCTGAAGCTCACCCTGATTATCCCTGAAGCTGCAGATATTCCACTGTAAATAGGCCATGACTGGCAACGAGCAAAGTTCTAGCTGCCCAGACAACTTTTGTTCCAAGTAGGGAAATTAGATCTAACAAAAATGATCCCAAATGGATGAACAATAGATTAAAACATCTCACTGGTCAAAAGAGAGGCATATATAGGCATATCAAGAGGGGATGGGCAGTTAAGAAATCAATATATTCAATTAAAGAGAAATAAAAAAAAGGAATAAGAAAAGCAAAAAGAGATTATGAGGCTAAGGTCGCAAGGGATTCAAAGACTAACCCAAAAGGGTTCTTTCAGGTATACAGAAGTAAGATTAGGGACAAGATTGGCCCACTTAAGAGTAACTCTGGTCAGATCACAGACAGTGATAAAGATATGTGTGAAATTCTAAATACCTACTTCCTCTCAGTTTTCACCCAGGAAAATACTAGCGATATTCCTGAAATAATAGATTACGTAGAACAGGACGATAATAAACTATGTACGATTGCGGTAACTAGTGACATGGTCCTCAGACAAATAGAGAAACTAAAACCTGACAAATCCCCAGGTCCTGATGAACTGTTTGCAAGGGTGTTAAAGGAATGTAAAGAGGAACTTAGCATACCTTTGCCTAATCTTTTTAACATATCACTACAAACTGGCATAGTGCCTGATAAGTGGAAAATGGCAAATGTAATGCCTATTTACAA